TCTCTGTAGCTCCTATTACCAAGTACAGCAATTTTTAACTGGTGTGCCGCAAGAATGTTTAAAACAGGGGTCCTCAAACTTTTTAAACGGGGGGCCAGTTCACTGTCCCTCAGATCGTTGGAGGGCCGGACTATAGTTTTAAAAAAAACTATGAACAAATTCCTATGCACACTGCACATATCTTATTTTGAAGTAAAAAAACAAAACGGGAACAAATACAATATTTGTATTTGCATGTGGCCCGCGGGCCGTAGTTTGAGGACCCCTGGTTTAAAACGTGGAATACCTGACTAGTCAGGGGCACTGACCGCTTTACCCTTAGATTGTCAAATAGAAAAATGACAACAGCCAACACAATAGCCATCTGGTAGGAATGAATCACAATTATACCTATTTTTTTGTTAGATTATTATGCTAAGTGAAATAAGGCAGTCAGAGAAAGACAAATACCATATGATCTCACTTATATGTGGAATCTAATGAACAAAATAGAAACAGAGGCATGGATACATGGAACAGACTGACAGATGGCAGAGGGGAGGAGGGTGGGAGGAACTGTATGAAAGAAAGTGAAGGGATTAGCCAGAGAACATATATGTATAGCCCATGTGCACACAGACAATAGTGTGGTGAAGGCCCAGGGTGGGGGTGGGGTGGAGGGACTGTGTGGAGGTGGGATGGGTGTTGGTGGTGGAAATCTGTAATAGTGTCAACAATATATATAATCTATATATCACACACAAAAATCCATAGCACTCTGAATGAATCTTTCACTCTGAATGTGACTTTGATCTTATGAACTTCCTGAAAGAGACTGAGAGACCCCAGCCATACCCTGAGAACTGCTGACTTAATATTTGTTTCAAGACTTAAACCTTGGATGAAGATACAAAGGGGATAGTGAATGGAGTATAGGTTAAGAGGTCAGCCTTGAACAGAAGGAAACCTCTTCTGAATCTAGCAAGAGGGAAGCAGAGGTTTGAGTACAGATATATTTGAAGGGAGAGAAAGAATTCCCACACATCGTTATTTTTTCTGTGAAGCAGGAGGTAAGGTCATCTAGAGTTAACTAAAAGAATTGCCCCAGCACCTTGAGGGCCACCTGGTAAGTGTCTACTATCCCATCAAGTCCAACGCAAAAGGAACTATGACTTTCCCTAATGTCTTTTGCTTCAAACTGTCACCTGGTTGTTTTTCTATTAAAACAGTTATCATAACTTACTAGAGGCCCGGTGCACAAAAATTTGTGCACTCGGGGGGGAAGGGGGGTCCCTCAGCCCGGCCTGTGCCCTCTCGCAGTCTGGGACCCCTCAGGAGATAATGACCTGCTGGCTTAGGCCTGCTCCTGGGTGGCAGAGGGCAGGCCCAATCCCTAGGTGCAGCCCCTGGTCGGGCTCAGAGCAGGGCTGATTGGGGAGTTGGGGCACCGCCCCCTGTCATGCATAGAGCAGGGCGGATTGGGAGGTTGCGATGCCACCCTCAGTCACGCTCAGGGTAGGGCTGATTGGGGGGTTGGGGCACCACCCCCTATCACACTCAAGGCAGGGTCAATGGGGAGGTTGCGGCGCCACGCCCTGTGATGCACAGAGCAGGGCCAATCAGGGGGTTGGGGCGCTGCCCCCTGTCACTCACAGAACAGGGCCAATCAGGGGGTTGGGGCACTGCCCCTCCCCCTCCCCCCCGTCACGCACAGAGCAGGGCCCATCAGGGGGTTGGGGAGCTCCCCCCTGTCACTCACAGAGTAGGGCCGATAGGGGAGTTAGGGCACTGCCCCCTGTCACACACACACAGCAGGGCAGATCAGGGGGTTTGGGGCGCCGCCCTCTATCACCCACAGAGCAGGGCCGATCAGGGGGTTGGGACGCCACACCCTGTCACACACAGAGCCGCAGGGCGATCAGGGGGTTTGGGCGCTGCCCCCTGTCACGCTGATCTGGTGCCAGGAGGCCTCGCGGCTCCGCTGATCCCAGTGCTGGGAGGCATATTGCCCTTTTACTATATAGGATAGAGGCCTGGGGGCTGGCTGGTTTGCCCTGAAGGGTGTCCTGGATCAGGGTGGGGGTCCCCACTGGGGTGCCTGGCCAGTCTGGGTGAGGGGCTGAGGGCTGCCTTAAGGCTGGCAATTGACTGAAGCTCCCAACCGCTCCTTTTTTTCTTTTTTTTTTTTCTTCTGGGCCAGCTTTAGCTCTGGCTCTAGCTCTG